GCACACTCAATTGGATATGGAAATCTATCTTAATCGACAGGAAAATAGTGAGGAAGGGGATAAGAAATGGGGGGATGATAGAGTGGAGGGCAGATTGGAAGAGGGGGTAATCAGAAGCAATCACTTCTGAGGAGGGACAAGGTCAAAAGAGAGAATAGAATAAATGGGGGCAGGATAGGATGAAGGAAAATATAGTTAGTTTTTCATAACATGACTACTGCTATGGAAGTGTTTGGATGACTACACATGTAAAACTAGTATGGAGTTGCTTGCCTTCTCAATGATGGTGGGTGGGGTGAGAGGAAGGGAGAAAATGTGGAACACAAAGTTTTAAAAACAAATGTTAAAAATTGTTTTCACATACAGCTGGGAAATAAGATATACAGGCAATGGCATATAGAAATCTATCCTGGGGCAGCCAGGTGGTGCAGTGGATAGAACACCAGCCCTGGATTCAGGAAGACCTGAGTTAAAATCTGGCCTCAGACATATAACACTTACTAGCTGTGTGACCCTGGGCAAGTCACTTAACTCCATTGCCTAGCCAACCAAAAAAGAAAAAAGAACAAAAAGAAAAAGAAAAGAAACCTGTCCTGACCTACAAGAAAATAGGAGAAAAGAGATAAGAGAAGGGAGGGGGAGATAGAAGAGAGGGCAGATTAGGGGAAAGGGTATTCAGGACATACACAAGGTTGGGGTGGGGGGAGGGGTGACATGGGGAGAAAATTTGGAACTCAAAATCTTGTGGAAGTGAATATGGAAAACTAAAAATAAATTAATAAAAAAGGAAATCTTAAAAAAAAAGATGGCACAATATATAAAATCAATTGAACATAGGAATCTATCTCACCCAACAGGAAGTTAGAAGGGAAGAGATTAAGCAAATGTGGGGCAGGGAGAAAGAGAGTGACAGAAGAGAGGTCCAGGTGAGGTGGTAGATAGAAGCAAAACACCTGAGGAGGAAAAGAATGAAAGGAGAGAGTGGACAAACAGGTCTAAAAATAGGATGAAGGGAAATACACAACTAGCAATCATATCTGTGAATGTGAATAGGATGTACAGTCCCATAAAAGGGAAGTAGATAGCGGAGAGGATCAAAAAACAGAATCTTACAGTATGTTGTTTACGAGAAAACACAGAGTAAAGGTAAACAGCTGGAACAGAATTTAATATGCTTCAACTTAAGTAAAAAAAAAAAAGCAGAAGTTGCAATCCTGATCTCTGAAAAGATGAAAGAAAAATATGCCTAATTAAAAGATAAAAAAGTAAAGAAACTACATCTTGCTAAAAGGAACCATAAAAAACAAAGTAATATCAATACTAAACATATATGCACCAAGTGGTAAAGCATCCAAATTCTTAAAGAAGTTAAGTGAGATACAGATTCATGACCAAACAAGAGAGAGAGAGCATTATGAAATGTAAAATAGATTCTTGATTACATTAAATTAAAAAGCTTTTACACAAACAAAACCAATGCAAGCAAGATGAAAAGGAAAAGCAGAAACCTAGGAAACAATCTTTACAAATGTCTCTGATAAAGGGACTCATTGCTCAAATATGTAGAGAACTGAGTCAAACTGATAAGAATACAAGTCATTTTCCAATTGATGAATGATCAAAGGATATAAACAAGCAATTTTCAGATGAAGAAATCAAAGCTATCTGTAGGCATATGAAGTGTTCTAAATCATTTTTAATTAGAGAAATGCAAATAGAAACAACTCTGAGGTATCACCTCACACCTATCAGATTGGCTAATATGACAAAAAAAAGGAAAATGTTAAATGTTGTAGAAAATGTGGGAAAATTGAAACACTAATGCACTATTGGTGGAGTTAAGAACACATCCAACCATTCTGGAGAGCAATTTGGAACCATGCCCAAAGGTCAATAAAACTGTGCATACCCTTTGACCCAGCAATAGCACTTCTTGGGCTGTATGCCAAAGTGATCATAAAAATGGGAAAAGGACCTACATGTGCAAAAATATTTATGCCAACCCTTTTCATGGTGGCAAAATATCAGAAATTGAGGGATGCCCATCAATTGGGGAATAGCTGAACAAGCTGTGGTATATGAATGTAATGGAATACTCCTGTGCAATAAGAAACGATGAACAGGAAGATTTAAGAAAAACCTGGAAATATTTGTATGAACTGATGGAAAGTGAAATGATCAGAACCAGGAAAACATTGTTCACAATATCAGCTTATGTGATAATCACTTTTGAATGACTCAGCTTGTCAGCAGCATAATGGTGCTGACCAAGATAAGTGCAAAGGACTCACTAAAGAAAATGATATCCATATCCAGATAAAGAACTGATGGACTCTGAATGATGATCAAAGCACACATTTTTTGCTTACTTTATTCTTTTTCATGTTTTTTTCCTTTGATCTGTTTCTTCTTTTAGAACTGTGACAAACATAGAAATATGTTTTGCATCATAGAACACGTATAACTTTTATCAAATTGCCTACCATTTTAGGAAGATAGCAGCGTTAGGATGGCACGAGGGAGAAAAATTAAGATCTCAAACATCTTTTTGAAATGAATGCTAAAAATTATCTTGATATATACTAGAGAAGAAATAAAATATTATTAACATATGTATAAATATATAAATATATAAATCTGGTATGTCATCTGATTTCATCTCAAAAACAAATCTGGGAGGTAGGTGCTATCATTATCCCCATTTTGCAGATGGGGGAATTGAAAAAAAGAGTGGTTAAATGACTTGCCTAGCTAAAAAGTGTCTGAGGCCAAATTCGAACCCAGGACTCCCTAACTTCAAGCCCAGCACTTTATCCATTGTACCATCTAGCTGTCTAGGTTTCTATTAAGCACTTACTATATGCCAGGCACTAAGTTAAGTGTTGGAGATAAAATGAAGAAGCAAAAATTATTCTGGCCTTCAAGAAGCTTACATTCTAATGAGAAAGAGGATACCATGTTCATAAATAGGTGTATATGAAATATACACAGAGAAGAGGGACCAGGAAGGGCCTCCTGAAGAAGGTGGCACTGGACCTGGATCTTGAAGGAAGCCAGAGATCTCGATGGTGGAAGTGAGGAGGGAGGGCATTCTAGGCCTCGGGGACAGCCAGTGCCAAGGCAGGGAGTCAAGAGACGAGAGTTTGGTGTAGGCAGAACAGCACCCAAGCTGGCAGTAGATGGTGGAGAGGAAGGGCAAGATGAGGCCAGGTTATGAAGAACAGTCAATCTCAGAGCAGTTTATACTTGCTCTTAGAGGCAGTGGGGAGTCCTCAGAGCTCACTGAGAAGGGTTGAGAGCAGGGGGTAATATTGTTAGACCTACACTTTAGGAAAATCATTGTGGCAGCTGGGTGGAGGATGGATTGGTTTGGGGAGTGACTTGAAACAAGGAGATAACTTAGGAGCCTCTTGCAGGGGTCCAGGTGAGAGATGAAGAGAGCATGATGAAGCAATCCCCCAGCAGAGATGAAACTACTTCGGAAAATGTAAAGTACAATATAAATTGTACATGTGTGTATATGTGTGTGTGTATACGTACATATGTACATATATATGCACATTATATATAATTTTAACAAAATCTAAATATATTTTAATATTTTGAAGAATTTAAATCAATTAAACTTTACCATTTTATTTATTATTAATAAATAAAATTTATGAAGTTTGTTAAGTTTAAAATAATTTTAAGACTTATAATTTATAAAATAATTTTTTATAAATGTAAGTTTGTAAGTGAAGGAAATAAACAGTATTTCATGACTTGCGAATCATCTAGTGCAACCCCTATAGGAAGGGCTCCCCCAAATGATGTGCTCCACAAGTGAGCATGCCACCTGAAAGAAGGATGAAGGAGGCCGCCCAGCTTGATAGGACATTGCTGTTCCCACCTCCATCCATTTGCACAGCACAGGCTGCTGCCCCAGATCAGTCGGCACCTTCTCCTCCCTCCTGCCCACTAGAACCCCCAGCATCTTTCAAAGCTCAGCTCAGAGGCTGCCTCCAGTTGTCAGGGCTTTCTCCTTGCTGAAATTCCTTTGTATTTACTTAGGATCAGAATATCACAGATTTGAGGGTGGAAGGGACTTTCCAGGTCATCTATTCCAACCCCATTACTTACTAGAGATGAAAAAATGGGCCCCGAGAGGGTCTGAGTCACTCCAAATCACATGACTAAGAAAAGACAGAATTATAACTCACATCATCTGGCTTTGAATTCCTGGGATTCTTGGTTCATGGCTTCAGAACTGAAAAGAACTTTATTGGTTATCTAGTCCAGTCCCTTCACTTTATAAATGAGGAAACTGAGGCCCAGGAAGTTTAAGTAACATTACTCAAGGATACCCAAGGGGAGAGCACCAGAATTTGTGGGTGGTGGGTACTCTGGGGTCCTAACAAAGGGTCTGTAAAACCATCAGGCAAAACAGGACTTGAAGATGAAAATTTCTTCACTTCAACCACATAGCTTTTCTCTAAAGAACGCACCCCAGTCCTTGCTGTCTCCTCAGGCAGACTAACGTTACTTTTTTTTTTTAATTTTCAAATGGTTTCAGGTATCTTATGGTGAATAAAATAAAAACGCGCTTGAGAGATTTGTTGGGTCCATCGCACCTTGCATCCAGGAGGCATCGTGGACAGAGTGCAGGAATCTGGGGGTAATTTCATCTCAGACACTTCAAAACTGTGTGACTATGGGTAGATCACTAAACTCCCTGAGGTTTAGTTACTCCATATGTAAAATAGGCAGCTATATTACCTACCTCATGTGGTGTCTGTGAAACTCCAAAGGGATGTTATCTTTCTTGAAGACTTTAAAAAGCTATCTAAAGGCCTGCTATTTCAAATTGTGTGATGTATTTTCCCAATCAATGAATGTTAATAGTATATGCACCATCACATGGTTGTGGGTTTTAGGAAGTAGAGTCTGTAAAGGCTTTTAATATTAAAAATGTTGGTGCCCCCTAGCCTAACGCCCCCTTCCTACTGAGTGTGGCTCACCTATTGAGAAAGGCAGAAAGTCTTCTCTCTTTTTAAATTGACCATTCTCCAGAAAATGTTCTGGTTGAAAGTTTCTGGGGTAGCCCACTCCTTGGGGTCCCTGTGCAAGGCATTCAAGTTGGTCATCAGTATGGTCCCCTGGAAACAAGAGAAAAGAACTGAGTCTAAGGAACTTTGAGTTGGAAGACACCTGGCACACCCTCTCATTTTGCAAAAGAGGGAATTGAGGCAGGGGGCAGGTGATGGGTAAGAAACTGGCCAAGGCCACACAGTTTGTTAGTGTTCAAGCCCATTGTATAGCTTGACTTCTTAGAGCAGGGGCTCCCAACATGTTTGGAAGGCTGGCAGGCCTTTGGACCCCTTCTCAGAACCATGTTTTAAAATGAATCAAATAAGAAACATAAGATTACAAAGGAAACTGATTGTATTGACATGCAACCATCAAAATCTAAACAAAAAAAATTGATTTCATGGACCCAAAGTTAATAACTCTGGTCTTAGAGAGTCATAGATTTTTTATGGATGAGGAAACAGAGGCTGACAGGTGATATTACTTGTCCGGGGTTACACAAAAAGCATCTCAGTCTGGATTTGAACCCAGATCTTGCTGACCTCCAGTTCCAGCTCTCTTATCCACTGGGTCTTGTTGGGTTGTAACCTCCAGCTTCCTGGTGTCTAACTATAAAGACACACCTGGGTGTGTTTAGAGAACCTGGTTTAGAAGGAATTGTCCTCATGAGAGGAGCTCAGAGGGTTAGGCAAAGATGAGGTTAGAGAAGAGGGCAGTGAAGTGGGTATGCCCAGGCCTTCTTATATCCTGTTTGTATGAGTGAGCAGGCATGGCCCTGCCTCTGGGCCTGGAGATCCTAGAGCAAACATGGCCTTAAGACTATATCTTGGGAGTAATCTCTGCTTCCCAGAGAGTATGAAATCATGGTGTTAGGTTTGGGGGGACCTAGAGCCCATCCCCATAATTTTACACCACAAAAGGTTAAGTGACTTGCCCAGCATCACACAGCTCATCATTTGAACCCTGGTCTTTAAGACTCCAAGTTCAACACTCTTCCCACTATTCCAATTTGTCTCTCTACCTCCATACTTAAACTAAGTCTTCCTTAACACTTAAGCCCAACTCAGTCCACTTCCCTAAAATGTTCCTTTTCTTCTTATCTCTCAGGACTCTCTAAACCCTATCCATCTATCCTTCACAGCTCAGCTTGCTCACCTCTTCTTCTGTGAAGTCATCCTTGATCACTTCATGCTATCATGAGCTCTCCCTCCTCCTGACTCATCCCTCACCTATATCATACTCACTGACTAGCTATGTGACCCTGGGCAAGTCACTTCCCCTCGCCTGTCCCAGTTTTCTTATCTGTAAAACGTGAATGATAACAGCACCTCCCTCCCAGGGTTATTGTGAGGATCAAGTGAGAGATGTTTATCTATACATATACTACATATACACACATACATATTTATATATACATATACATATACATGTACATATACATATACATATACATATACATATACATATACATATACATATACATATACATATACATATACATATACATATACATATACATATACATATACATATACATATACATATACATATACATATACATATACATATATATGTATGTATGTTTCTGTATAATTGAGGGTTTTTGGTAAGTCTATGGATCTTTTTTTTAACACTTTAAAAGCATTATTTTGAGAAAGGGAGCATAAGTTTTCACCATACTGACTGCCAAAGAGCTCCATGATAAAAAAGATGAAGAAACATTGCACTAGAATCTTAAAATCATTGATTCTCGCAATTGGATGAGAAAATTGTTGCCTTGCTGGTTTGCATGCTTTAGAGAACAGCTGTGTGGTTGAAGTGAAGAAAGTTTCATCTTCAAGTCCAGTTTTGCCTGATGGTTTTACAGACCTTTGCTGGAACCCCAGAATTCCCCCAGGCATAGGCACTGCACATAAGCTCTGGTACTTCCCCTCTGAGTATCCTTGGGAGATCTTACTTAAACTTCCTGGGCCTCAGTTTCCTCATCTATAAGGTGAAGGACTGGCCTAGATGACCAATGAGGTTCCTTTCAGCTCTGAAGCCATGAACCAAGAATCCCAGGAGGGATTCTTCAAAGCCAGAGGATCGGAGTTATAATTCTGTCTCTTCTTGGTTGTGTGATGTGGAGTGACTCAGACCCTCTTAGGGCCCATTTTTTAATATCTAGCAAGTGAAGGGGTTGGAATAGACGGCCTGGAAAGTCCCTTCCACTCTCAAATCTGTGATATTCTGATCCTAAGTAATACAAAGGAATTTCAGCAAGGAGAAAGTCCTTACAACTGGAGGAAGCCTCAGAGCTGAGCCTTGAATGAAGTTGGGGGTTCTAACAGGCAGGAGGGAGGAGAAGGTGCCGACTAATCTGGGGCAGCAGCCTCTGCTGTGCAAATGGATGGAGGTGAGAACAGCAATGTCCTATCAAGCTGGGCGGCCTCCTTCATCCTTCTTTCAGGTGGCATGCTCATTTTTGTGCTCTGTATTCCTCATAGGGTCTTATACATAGTTATCAACTCAGCAGATAAAAAATAAATGAAACTTAGGCCAGAAAACCTAAGTTTTTATAAAGCTCAGCAGCACTTAGCACAGTGCCTGGCACATAGTAGGAATTTTATAAATATTTATTGACTTGAAGAAATTCTTTTGAGGTGATGGAGCTCTATGAAACTAGGAATTATTAAAATGATTTCTCAATCATGATTTCCATTTAGGCCCAGGGCCTAAAGTGATTTCTTTGAAAGGGGCAACCTGGATTAGAGCCTGGACCCCAGGAAAGGGCATTGGTGGAACTCCTCTGGCCAGGTCCCAGAAGTGCAATGAGGGGGGTGGGGGATATAAACAACTCCTTCAGAATTCTGTACTCAGTGTCTGCCTGAGTCTCTGTACCCACTGTGACTGAGAAACCATTGCTGTCTGGGCAAATATGATTTGTTTTGGCCAGAAGAAGTTGGGGAAGGTCCAGGCTACATCAATCGTGCTCACGTGGCTATGAGTCCAGAACAGTTGGAAGAACATTTAATGATCATGTAGTCAAACCATCTCATTTTTCAAATGGGAAACTGAGTCCTAGGGAGGTGTCACACATAGTGATGTCACACATAAAGAACCTAAATGTGCAAAAGTAATTTAAACCTAGTATCAAAACTAGGTTTTAAACCCAGTCCCTCTGCCTCCAAATCCAGTGGTTTTTTTTTCATCTAATTGTGAGAATCAATTATTTTAAGATTCTAGTACAAAGTTTTGTCACTTTTTTTTTTATCATGGAGCTCTTTGGCAGTCATTATAGTGAAACTTATGCTTCCTATCTCAGAATAATGCTTTTAAAATACAAAAAAAAACCCCATACATAGACCACAAAAAATCTTCAATACTATGGAAATAAAATGCATATATATATATATATGTATATATGTGTGTGTGTGTGTGTGTATGTGTGTGTGCATATTTAAAGACCAAATTCATGCACCCTAGACCAAGAACCTTTGTTCTACAGTACATGCTTTTTTATTTCACCTTTAAAAAAATATATTTATTTATTTTTAGTTTTCAACATTCTATTTCATAAGATTTTGAGTTCTAAATTTTTCCTTTCCCTTTTCTCCCCCATCTCCAACATGGCATGCAATCTGATATAAGCTATACATACCATCTTATTAAACATATTTCCATATTAATCATGTTGTGAAAGAAGAATCAGAACAAAAGAGAAAAACCACAGGAAAGAAAAAAAATAAAATAGTATGCTTCGATCTGTATTCAGACTCCATAGTTCTTTCTCCACATGGGGATAGCATTTTCCGTCATGAGTTTTTTGGAAGTGTCTTAGATCATTGCATTGCTGAGAAGAGCTAAGTCTATCATTGATAATTTCACAATGTTACTATTACGGTGTACAATTGTTTCACTTTCTTCAAATCCACACCCCAGGGTATATGGAAGCCATGGAGCCCCTTCAGGTTCATGGGAGAAAAAGTCATTTACCTTTGGCACGTGATATCCTGCCACTGTGGTATCAACTTTGGCCACCCTGGGAACGTTGAAAGGAAGAAGATCACCAATTCTCTGAACTTCATGAATGGTTGCATTACTGTAGGGCATATTCTCCTTATCAGCCATGGTAGGCTGCCTTGACTGGCCGATTACCTGGTCAATTTCAGCTTGTACTTTGCCTGGAAAGGAAGGTAGACTTTTTTGAGACTCAAATAATAGCTCACATATAGAGAGTACTTTAAAGTTTGTGAAACATTTTACAAATATCTCATTTGATCCTCACAATAATGCCAGGAGGACAGTGCTATTGTTATCCCAATTTTGTAGATTAAAATGAAGCAGACATAATTGAAGTGACTTGCTCAGAGTCACAAATCTTGGTGGATTTGAACTCAGGGCTTCCCCCCCTTCCAGTTTTTTTTGATCATGTAGGAGAAACATAGCCACATATGTAGTTGTGTTAAAGTTTGGTTTGACACTTCAACAAAAGTTCCAATCCCCACAGCTTAGAAACATGGAGACTTAACTGATTAATTGCAAATAGGGATGTTTGCCTTGTTAGGAAGACATCCAGGAACTGGTATCGTGGAAGGCATGCTGGAGTTAAAGACAGAAGACCTGGATTCAAATTTCAGCTTTACCCATCACTATTTGAGTGTGCATGGGCAAGTCATTGAACTCCTTGAGGCCTTGGTTTCCCTATCTCTAAAATAATCAGGTTTGATTACACTGTCTCTAAGCTCTTTAAATTTATTTTTGTATATTATATTTATTTATATTGCTTTATATTTAGTGTGCAATGATTCCTGAGTCCAAGTAAACCAGATGTAGAAGGCAGTTCTGAAGAGCAAGATGGTAATTGTAGAAGAAAGATAATTTGGGTCCCTACATGAGCTTATCCCTGACAAAGCATTTATGATGAGCCATGTAGACAGAAACAATTTCAAGTAAAGTCAACAAGCATTGGTTAAATACCTATTGTGTGTCACGAACCATACTAAATACCGAGAAGAGAGAAGGATGCAAAAGATAGTCCCTGGACTAAATACTGAGAAGAGAGAAGGATGCAAAAGACAGTCCCTGGACTAAACACTGAGAAGAGAGAAGGATGCAAAAGACAGTCCCTGCCCTCCAGGAGCTCACAGTCTAATGATGGAGATGACATGCAAACAAGATACATGCAGGATAAGTTGGAGATAATGACAGAGGGAACGCACTAAGATTAACGGGCATTAGGAATGTCTTTTCGCTGAAAGTGGGCTTTCTTCTGGGAATTGAAGGATGACAGGAAAGCCAGGATGCAAAGATAAGGAGGGAAAACATTCCAGAAATAAGGGGACAGCCAGAGAAAATGTCCAGAGCCAAGAGAATGAGGGTTTTCTTGGTGGGACAGCTAAGAGGCCATTGGCACTGAAACAAAGGATAGGTTTCAAGGAGTTAGGTCTAAAGAGACTAGGAAATTAGGAGGGGGCAGCCCATAATGGACTTTGAATGCCACACAGAGCATATTTTATTTGATCCTGGAGGTGATAATGTGACACTGCATTTTACTGAGTGGGGAAAATCACTCAACGATCATGGAATAGAGGCTGGACTGGAGTGCAGAGAGACTTGAGGCAGGCAAACCCACCACAGACTATTGCAATAGTCCAGGTGTGGGGATATGGAGATCTGGACCAAGGTGTGAATAGTGGCAGAGGAGAGGAAATATTCAAGGGATGTTTCAAAGGGGAAAGAAACAGACCTTAGCAACTGATTAAAGGGGGGGTATGCAAGAGATTATGAGGATTTGAGGATGATTCCTAAGTTTTGAGACTGAGGAACTGGAGGATGGTGTTGCACTCTATAGTAATAAGAAAGGTAGGAGTGGAGGAGAGTTTAGGGGAAAGAGAATGAATTCTGCTTTGTACATATCAAATTTAACATTGAATTTAAAAATTTAACATTTAGTTCACACATTTTAGTGCAATAGGTAGTTGGAGATGAGAAACTGGGGGTCAGCAGAGAGCTTAGGGCTGGATAAATATATTTGAGAATTTTTAGCATAAAGATGAAAATTGAATCCTTAGGAGTAGATGAAATCAGGGACTGAAAAGGTATAGAGGGAGAAGAGAAGGCCCAGGGCAGAGCCCTGTGAAACAACTATATGTGTGACCTGGACACAGGTGTGACCTGGACTAAGGTCTATCAAAGGAGACTGAGGAGTGGTCAGATAGATAGAAGGGTGGCTCAGAAAGAGTATTATGAAAATATAGAGAAAAGCGAATATCAAGAGAAGAAAAATGATTGGCAGTGTGAAAGACAGGTCAAAGTCGATGAAAACTGAGAAGATGTCATTCTATATGGGAATTAAGAGATCATTAGTTACCTTGAAAAGATGGGTTTCAGTTGAATGATAAAATTGGAAGACATACTAGAAAATTAAGAATGAGATGAAAGGAACTCAATGCATCTCTTCTAGATGGCCTTCTCAAGGATTAGCCACAAAAGAGAACCAATATGGGACAATAGTGGGAATGGATCAAGTAAGTTTTTTTGGTTTTGTTTTTTGGTTTTTTTTAGAATAGGGGAGACATGGGTATGTTGCTAGGCAGTAAGGAAGCAGCCAGTTCACAGGGTATAGTTGGAAATAAATGATAGAGTGGGAAAGATAGAGACAACAATCTTCTAAAGAATATGGACTGGAATGGGATCATTAGTATATCTAGCAGAGTTGACATTAGCAAAGGTATGAGTTACATCTTCATGGGATATAGGATTGAGGGAGACAGTAGTGACAAAAAGGGTTATGTGAGAGGAGAAGGAGGGGAGATGAGGGAATTCAAGGTGAATGGCCTCAATATTCTCAGTAAAATGAATTGATGCAAAGTGAAGTCTGCAGAACCAGGAGAATCTTGTACACAGTAGAAGCAATATTGTATGCTGAAGAACTGTGAATGACTACAATGATCCAAATTACCCCAAAGGACTAATGATGAAGTATACTATCTGCCTGCAGAGAAAGAAACCATATTGTCTGAATACAGACTGAAGAGTGCTATTTTTCACTTTCTTCATCTCTTTCATTTTTATACAAGTCTTCTTACACAAAATGACTAATAAGGAAATGTTTTACATTAGCGTACATGTCTAACCTGTGTCTGATTGCTTACCATCTCAGGAAGGAAGAAGGAGAGGGAGGGATGGAATTTGAAGCTCAAAACTTTAAAAAAATATTAAAAAGCATTTTACATGTAATTTAAGAAAAAATAAAATATCATATGTCTATATATATCAATTTACAGTAAAATATGAGGCAAGTTTCACAGCTGAAGTGGTTGAGGGAGAGGGAGTCATGCTCCCATGTGAAAGGATGAGAAGGTTTGGAAGAGCTACTTCAGTGGATAGGAAAATTAATTAATTAGGGAAATGTAAAAAGATTACCTTGCTGCAATAATTATGAGATTGCATAAAATGAATTAGTAGTGGACACAGTCAATCTGGTTTTGTGGCTTCCCTTACATTCATTTAATGCATATGAATGAGACTGAAGGCCAGTGATAGTTGAAGTGAACTGAGCTTGATGTTCGATAGGACAAGAGAGATGGTACCATAGTGGGGGAAGTATAGATTGAATGGTTCATGAAGGGGTCAAGATGGAAAAATTAGGAGTGTGTGGCTAATGCAAGGGTGATGGCCTGTCAGGGAACTGAGGAGTCAAGAGATTGGCAGTCAAGGAAGGCAGAGGAAGAGGTGGAATATCAATAGATTGAGATCAGATAAGGGAATTTCGGAATTGATGAATTCAGAAAATTGTACATTTGTGGGCAATGGCCAGATCACCCTTTAGAGTAGCTTATAAGCTTATAATTATAGTATGTTTATATATAATATATGAACTATATAATATAATAAATCTAATATATAACATGCAATATAAATATATTAGAGTAGCTGATAATTAAGTTAGTGCTTGTTGACAGTGTGATTCTTAGCCCATTTCCCATCATTCTGGTGTTGTCATTGTAGTAGCAGGAGCTGACTACAGAAGGCTGAGGGTCATTTTGTATCATTCTTTGTGTCAAGAGATGGGTTGGATTTTATGGTCTGTAAGATACCTTCCAACTCTAAATCTAAAGATGTTATGACCTTCTATAGATTTGATTCATAATGTATCCTTCACTTAAATATTTTTATTTTTAAATCTATGGAGATTTATCATATTTAATAGAATACAAAAAAATTTAAAATGTTACTTTTTGTTATCACATACCTTTTCAATCAAAAAAGTTACAGTGCATTAACAAAATAATTAATAATAATAAAATAATATTTGCTATTTATATAAAACTTTCAGGCTTACAAAGCACATTATGTTTGTTAACTTGTTTAAACCTCATTACAACCCTTTGAGGTAAGGACTATTATTACCCCCATCTTATAAATGAGGATACAGAGGCTGAGAGAAGTTATGTGATTTGCTCAGGTTCACATGGTTTGTGAATTCCTGAGGCAGGATTTGAATTCACATCTTCTTGACTCCAAATGCTACACTCTACTGCCCAAGTCAGCAACTACCATCATATGGGAGCTAAAAGAAATTTTGATGTTCAAAAGGGGACTGCATGATTGTGAAAAATGGTAATCACTGCTCTATTCCAATGAGAATTGAAAAAGATGACGTGTGTAAAGCTTTAAATGGGACCTCTTCTGGGCAGAATTCTAATTGGGTACATAGCCTGGAGCAATCACTGTACCTTGGATCTCTGGATAAAAGGCCATATACAGCAGCGCCCACCTCAGAGTGGTCGAAGTTGTCTCTGTTCCAGCAAAGAAGAGGTCCAGGGTGCAGAAGACTAAATTTTTTTCATCAAAACTAGAATGGATGTTATCCTTAAATTAAAAGGGCAGGCATCACTTGGTGAATAAAAATAATAACGATAATAACAATAATGATGATGACTGCCTCCAAGTATGAGGAGTTACACCCTCAGTGGGGTCTTAGAAGAGTCCAGGTGGCAGATCCTGGGCTTCCCACTAACACCCAAGAATACAGTAACTGTTCCTAAGAATGAGAATTCCTATTTCTTTTTTATCTTTGAAATATTATGTTTCCAACTACATGTAAAGACAATTTTAATGTTCTTTTTTATATAAAATAATGAGTTACCAATTTCTTCCCTCCTTCCCACCCACCCTCAATAAGACAGTAAGCAATTTGATATAGGTTACATAAATGCCTATGTCCCAAGCTTATCCCATCCTCTACAGTGTTCATATTTGCCTTTTCTTTCATATTAGCCAATCTGTAGGTGGATGTGGTACCTTAGAGTTATTTTAATTTAATTTGTTTGTTTCTCTAATCATTTGTGATTTAGAGCATTTTTTCATATAACTATAATAGTTTTGGTTTCTTCACCTGAAAACTGATTGTTCATATCCTTTGACCATTCATCAATTGGAAAATGATCTGTATTCTTATCAATTTTTCAATAATGATTTAGATAATTTTTCATATCACTATAAGTTGTTTTGATTTATTTATTGGAAAACTGCCTGTTCAAGTCCTTTGATCATTTATTAGTTGGGGAATGACTCATTATTATAATTTTGACAAAGTTCTTTACATATTTTTGAGATGAGACCTTTTTCTGATAAATCATCTATATGATTCCCCCCCCTCAAATTTTCTCCTTTTCTTCTAATCTTGGCTGCATGTGTTTTATTTGAACAAACTTTTTAATTGAATGTAATTCAAATTATCCATTTTATACCTAATTTTGCTCTTTAATTCTTGTTTATTCATGAATTGTTCTCCTATCTAGAAGACTGGTAAGTTATATGTTCAGTGTTCTAATTTTCTTGTAAAATGTCTCTTTATATGTAGGTCATGAATACATTTTGACCTTATCTTGGTAAATAACGTAAGCTACTGGGCTATGCCCAGTTTCTGCCGTACTGCTTCCAGTTTCCACAAAATTTTTTTGATCAAATAATGAAGTCTTATCCAAAAATCTTAACTCATTATACTTGTCAAATACAAGATTTTTATGTTTATTCACTGCTGTAAATTGTATTTCTACTCTATTCCATTCACCTACCTTTCTATTGCTCAGTTAATATCAGATAGTTTTGATAATTACTCCCTCGTAGTATAGTTAGGATCTGGTACTGCTAAAGATCTTTCCTCTATACTTTTTTTAAATATTTCCTTCGATATTCTTGGTATTTTGTTCTTTTCCAAATGAATTTTGTTATTATTTTTACTAATTCATATTTTAATTTATAATTACTATTTGTGTTTCCTCCATCTTATTTTTACTTACTAGTTTCCTTCTCAGCCTCTCTTTTCATCCCATCCTTGTTACTTTATCTTCTCTTCTTACCCTTTTATTCCTTATTTTAGCCACCCCTCTAAAAGGCCCTTCTTTATCTATTCACCTGACCCTCCTAATCTTAATTTAAATATCTTTCTAATAGCCTCTCTCTCACCCTATTCCCAGTTTTCTCACCTCTCTAGAAGTCTGTAAGACTTCTAAACCTCTCCAGATGAGTATGGTGTTTCCTCTTCTACCCAGATGAGAGTAAGGATCCAATATTACCAGCTTTCTACCTCCAACTGTTTGCTCTGTATAAATTCTTGCTTTCATGCCCCATTTTTATGAGATACTTTCTCTGTTTACTCTTTTCCTACCCAATTTTATTTTTAGAATTGCCTCATCATACACAATTCAGCCTCAACTTTTCTTTGACACTATCTCAGTAATGCAAATAGGTTTAGAAATACTATTACTACTACTAATAACCAGCAATTACTAATATTAATAACATTTTCAAGTTTCATAAATCAACAGTTTGACCTTAATCAGAACCTTGCAATTGATCTTTAATGATTTCCTTATGTTTCTTCTGGATCTTTTATATTGAATTTTGCATTGTCTTCTGGTGTTTTGGTTACAAATACCCATAAGTCTTTCAGTTGATCAAATGTCTCTGTTTTCATTCAGAGTCATAGCTCAACTTTGCTGGATAAGTTATTCTTGGATGCAACTCCAGCTTCTTTGCTCTTTGAAACATAATTTCCCAAGACCTAAAGTCTTTTAGTATATAAACAATTAGGTCTTGTGAAATCCTTATTGTTTTTTCTGTAGTGTTTCAATTGTTTTTATTTTCTTGGTGCTCGCATTATTTCCTCTTTAACCTGTGAATTATGAAACTGAGCTATGACATTCCTGTAAGTTTTCTTCTTGGGATCTCTTTCAGGTGATGATCAGTGGATTCTTTTTTATTTCTACTTTATCTTCTTGTTCTAGAACTTCAGGGCAATTTTCTTTAATAGTTTTTTTTACAATATTGTATCTGGATATTTTTCTGATCACAATGTTCAGGTAGACTAACAATTCTTATACACCCTCACCTCAATCTGTTCCCTAGATCAGTTGTTTTTCTAATGAGATGTTTCAGATTCTCTAGATTTTATCTAGTGCTAGTATATCTTGATGTCTTATAATGTAATTTGATTCCACTTGCCCATTTCTAGTTTAAAAGGAGTTATTTTCTTCCTTAAGTTTTATATCTCCTTTTCTAATTCATTAACTTTCTTTTCATAATTTTCTTAGATTGTTTTTATTTTTTCTAATTTTTCCTCAGTCTCTCTTATTTAATTTTAAAATTATTTTTTTAATTTTCTTTTAAGATTTCTTTTGGGGGGGCAGCTAGGTGGCACAGTAGATAGAGCACCGGCCCTGAAGTCAGGAGGACCTGAGTTCAAATCCGGCCTCAGATCCAACACTTAACACTTACTAGCTGTGTGACCTTGGGCAAGTCACTTAACCCCAATTGCCTAAAAGCCAAAAAAAAAAAAGATTTCTTTTTGGACTTGTGACCATTTGACATTACTCTTTAGGGTAGGAGTGGCTTTTTTTTACCTCACTATCTTCCTCTGAATAAAAATCCAGGTCTTCTTTTGCAACAATGTAGCTATCAATGGTTGGGTTTTCTTTCCCTTGCTTACTCATTTTTATTTTTAATTTGATGCATATTATTTCACATAGCTAAATATTACTGTGATGAAGTTTTAATCCTGAGTTGTGGATAATGGTGCCCCAGGCCTAAGTTCCTTGTTTGCATTGTTTTCTGACTTCTGTTTGGGGGCTCAACCTTAGGACTCCTCCCTTCCTCCCCTAAGTCCCAGCCATGCTGTCTGGAAAATGTTATTGCTCTCTGGGATACCTCTCTCACCTGTCATGTGCTCACCCCTTCTTGCCCACAGCCACAGCCAGGGATTAATCTTATCTAGTCATTACTGCTGGACCTGACTTCTAGTAAAAGCACGACATTCTTTGATCTTCCCTCTCTCAGCCTCTGCTCTTCTTTAGATGAAAATTTGGGAGGTAAAAGTTTGTGAAGTAAAAGTTTCTGAGGTAAAATTTCTTTAGATCATGAATAATATGAAAATTGAGGTAAAATTTCTTGAGGCCTGGTCTGCTTCTCTAAAGGCCTACAGTTTGTTGATTCAGATGAGTTGCTCTGAAGGTGTTTACACTTCCCTCACACCAAACCTCAGCCACTGGAATCTTCTCTGAGGTCCTCTTAAGATGTTCTAAAAGCACAACTCCTTTACCTATTTAATTTTGCTGCTCCACATTCATTTCATAGCGGTTTTCTGTTTGTGAAGGAAATCTTTAGAGCCTAGAAATTTCTGACCTACTCCACCATCTTCCCAGAATATCTTATTCCTCCTCAATCTATTTTCCAGCTTAATTGTTTTTCCAGTGAGGTATTTTACATTTTCATCTGTTTTTCATTGTTTTGATTCTGTTTGACTGAGTCTCGATGTCTCATAGAGTCATTAGCTAACACTTTCACAATTCTAATTTTTAAAGAATTATTTTCTTCAATTACCTTTTGCACCTACTTTTCCATTTGGCCAATCATACTTTCTAGGAGTTGTTTTCTTCAGTTCATTTTTATGTTTTCCTTTTCCAAGCTGTTGGATCTTCTTTTCACAATTCTCTTGCATAGCTCTCACTTATTTAAAAATTTTTTTCTTCTACCTCCTTATTTGATTTTCAAAATACTCTTTGAGCCTTTCCAGGAGGGCTTTTTGGGCTTGAGACTAATTCACATTTTCTTTGAGGCTTTGCATGTAGGTGTTTGCCATTGTTGTCCTCTTCTGAGTTTGTGTTTTGATCTTCCCTGTTTCCATAATATGTTTCTGTGGTCAGACTTTTGTTTTGCTCATTTTCCAGGCTATTTCATAACTATGTAAAGTTGAGCTCTACTCCTGGGGCACAGGGGGGCGCTGTCCCATGCTTCTTGTGCTGGAGGCCAGGGTCTGGTTGCTGGCTTGATGTGGAGGCTTGCTCCGGGGGCTGTTATGTTGGAATCACTCCTACTAGCGTCTGTTGCACCAGACTTTAGTGGGTTGGCAGCTCACGGCTTCATCCTGGCTACAGGCCTCTCATAGCTTATCTGCTGTGCCATTAGCGCACTGAAGCACATTGCTGATCTTTGCTGGGGTTAGGCTTCTATTGAATTTGCATCTTTATTCATTTGTATTGAATTCATTCTCCCCCTCTTTCTTTTATTTCTTCTCCTTTTCTCTCTCCTCCTCCTTTACTTCATCTCTTTCGTTCTCTTCCTCATCTGTCTCATCCACCCCCTCCTCCTCCATCTCCTTTCCCTTCTCTTTTTCTTCATTGCCCTTATTATTATTCTAATTACTTTTATTTTCTCTCTACTAAAAACCTCTCCACTTACCTGTTAGTGGCTGTGGATATTTCTTCATCTGGCAGGAATAAAGCTGGTTGTAAAATACAGAATAATAAGAGCTAGCATTTCTCTGTAGCAACTGCCATGTGCCAAACACTGTGATAAGGGTTTCACAAATATGATTTCATGTGATCCTCACAACAACCCTGTGAAATAGGAGGTGTTATTGTCTCATTTTACAATTGAGGATACTGAGGGAAACAGAGATTTTGTCACTTTCCCTGGATCACATGGCTAGTGTCTGAGATTGTATTTGAACTCAGGTCTTCCTGACGCCAAATCCAGCGATCTATTCGCGTGCAGTATAGTTGCCTTGGTGACCTTCCTTTAGTTCTAGGTGTATCCCTCACCTGTTTCATTCTCTGAAAATAAAGCATTCAGTCAAAAGAGCTGAGTTTATATGTCCATGCTCCATGATTATTGGACAAATCCTTTAATATCATTTAGTTTCAGTTTCCTCATCTGGAAATGTAGATAATATCTGTGCTGGCTATCTCATGGCATTGCTTGGAGTGGAAAATAAAAACCAGAACATTTTATAAGCCTTGAAGTGCCATATGCATCGAAGTAGCAGTTGTATTTTTCATTTATTAGCATTAATATTCTTCTAGGTAAGAATAGATATTTTACCCAATTGATTCAGTCTTTTAATCATGAGAAAACTAATAGTATCCAAATGCTTTACAATTTGTCAGCTACTTTCCCCATAATCTTCTGAGGTAGGTAGTATCAATAATATTGTACCCATTTTTCAAATGAAAATACTGAAACTTAGAGAAATGATTTGTTTCCAGGTAAATTTGACTGATGAATTCAGGATCTGGAATTCAAATAGAGGTCCAGCGTTCTTGAACCATATAGGACATAATTACAAAATCTTGAATTTGGAAAAGAACTCCAATTATGTCAAACTCCAAAGAAATAGGGCCACCAAACCATATGTAAGGATCTTTGGGGGCTACATATTGACTTACATTATGTAAGTTCAAATGTATTTTTATTTATTTTGTTAAATATTTCTAAATTATGTTTTTAATCTGAATCTACAGTACTCACGAGTGATACGGGCTGCAATGCTGCCCACATGTTTACTGCAAAAATTTTTAAAGGTGGTTATATTTTGATTGTGCTTATAAGATTTATAATTTAACTGATTTTTATAGTGTTGTGAGGTTTACAAAGAACATATACAAAATAATTCTGGATAGGATAGGGGGTAGATAGAATATCTTAATGTTATGGATGAGAAAAGTGAGGTGCAGAGAGATGGATTCAAAGGACTGAAATATCAGGAGCAAGACTTAATCCCAGTCAGAGTAGGTTCAAATGAAAAGGACACCGGACTTGGAAACAGAAAAAGTTAGGTTTAATTCTAGCCTAAGATTCCCAATAGCTGTGTGACTGGAGCAAGTCAATTAACCCCTCTATGCCTCAGTTTCACCCTCCTTCCATACAAAATCAGGAGGTTGGGGGCAGCTCGGTGGCACAGTGGATAGAGCACCAAACCTGGATTCAGGAGGACCTGAGTTCGAATCTGTCCTCAGATGCATAACACTTACTAGCTGTGTGACCCTGGGCAAGTCACTCAAACCCATTGCCTAACAAAAAAAAAAATCAGGGGTTCAAACTCATTAAGCCCTATGGTCCCTTCCAGGTATAAGTAAAAATTGTGAGCGCTTTGAGGAAATATACTTATATTATGAGGCAGATGTAAAGTTTGGAACATTTGAACACACTTATGCCCACATCTCTGCACTGTTTTTTGTTTGTTTGTTTGTTTTTAAACACACAAATCCGGCTTTCTGTGTTATCTCCATTACCTTGGACAGCTCCTTCAGGTAAGCATCAATGAAGTCCGGAGATTCCTCTGGGTTTAAATCTTCCTTATGTTGTTTGATGACACATTCTACAAGGACTCCACCTTCTTCCATTCTCTAAAGAGCTTCTGGTGAGATCCTGGCAGATATTTCATTGCCCAAGGAAAGATATTGAAGAGCTAAATAATATAAAAGGAGTAAGGAGAAGAGGGATGAGTGTCAGTTCCTGTTAGGCTGCCCTGTCTCTTCATCTTCCCCATTCTAAATGAGGCCAGGATTCTTGACCATTTTTATGCCATAGAATTTGCCATAATTCCATGTCTAACCACTCCTGAAATACAACTTCCCTGTCTATCCTTCCATACTGTTGCTTTCCTGACACCCAGGCTGGAATCTAATCATCTCTTGTCTCATATACCAGCTGCTTGGCCATATCCTGCTGCACCTAAATAATTCTTTCAAGATGTCACCAATCTAGGCAGCCTCAAAACCTGCAGAGAGGAAGGGGAGAAATTATTTCTATAGTATTTGCTAGCATTTGACACATATTTCCTGTTAGCTCCACAGAATTCTCTTCTCTTGAATTTCCATTTTGCTCCTCTTAGAGAATAACTAATGTTATTCACCCTTCCCCTCAATTTCTTCCATAGCTAGACTCCTGCAGAGTTAAATGAAATCATGAGCTAGTTACTCCTTTGGTGAGGAGGCAGAGTCAATAGTGTGATGTAATAAGACTCAGGAAGACCTGAGTTAGAATTCTGCCTCACACAGTTATTAGTTGTATGGCAAGTCATTAACTTCTCTCAGATTCAGTTTCCTTAACTGTAAAATCAAGAGAATAATAGCAATTATCTCAAGATGGTAGTTGTGAGGATCTAAAAAAAATCAGTCAATCAAAAAGCATTTAATAAGTACTTACTATGTCCTAGGTACTGTGGTACATGTTGGGCATGCAAAGGAAGGGGAAAAACTGCTAGTCCCTGTCCTCAAGTAGTTAACATTGTAATGGGAAAGACTATGTGGAAATAACTAGGTACATGCAACATATATGCAGAGTGGTTGAAAGGTAATCTCAGAGGGAAGGTGCTAGCAGCTGTAGGGACTGGGAAAGACATCCTGCAGTAAAAGGTGAAATTTGAGCTGATTCTTGAAAAAAGTCAAGAGGGAAGGTGAGGAAAGAGAACATTCCAGGCATGAGAGACAGCCAGTGCAAAGGCACTGAGGTGGGAGCTAATATATGTAAAGCTATTTACAAATTGTAAATTTAAGCCCTTAAATTATCCATATCTCTCTGATTGTGTCTATTCCCTCTCTGTTTCTCTCTCATTATGTTTCTCTAGTGGTCTACATCTTTTTTTTCTCTATCTCTGAACCTTCCTCCCTCCCTTCTGCCTTTACTCCTTCTTCCCCATCTGTCTCTCTGTCTCTGTCTCTCTCTCTGTGTCTCTGTCTCTGTCTCTGTATCTCTGTCTCTGCCTCTTTCTGTCTCTCTCTCTGTCTCTGTCTCTGTCTCTTTCTGTCTCTCTCTCTCTGTGTCTCTCTGTCTCTCTGTCTGTCTGTCTGTCTCTCTGTCTCTGTCTCTGTCTCTCTCTCTCTCTCTGTCTCTCTCTCTCTCTCTCTCCGTCTCTCTCTCTCTCTGTCTCTCTCTCTCTCTGTCTCTCTCTCTGTCTCTCTGTCTCTCTCTCTCTCTTCCATGCAGAGGATAGGATAAAATTCCTGATTTCCCTCTAACACTGCTCAAGAGACAGCTTCTCCATGAACTCTTTCCTAGTTGTCCTGGCTTCTAATACTGCTCCTACCAAAACTTTTCCCATTGTATTTGTTTATTGGCATATACACACATTGAGGGTATGTTGTCCCCTCCAACAGAATGTAAACCACCCAAGGTCAGGGTCTATTTCATTTTTGTCATTGTATCCTCATCTCCTAGCACAAGGCTTCTTAAATTTTTTCCACTTGTGAGACCTTTTTGCCTAAGAAATTTTTATGCAACCCAGGGTATATAGGTATGTAAAATAGGTTTACAAATCAAACATTTATTAATAACAAATCATGAAGAAATTTATTTTAAAACAATTCTTTGTTATACAAATAATTTTATCATTTATTAAAGGTTAAAGCAAATTTGCATACTAATAAGATGGATGTGCTCATTTATTTTTGCATAAAGAATTAAACCTTGGCAGAATATTTGATACTGCAGGCCTTAGAGTATATTCTACATTTTTCAGAGTTGATCGATATTTTCATTTAATGATTATCAATGCTGAGAATGCTGCTTCACAAAATACGTAGTCCAAAATGGCAGAAGTATGTTTAGGACCATTTCAGAAATTGTTGGAAATTCTGTCCTAATCCCAAGCCAAAATTCACTTAATGATTTTGTATGTACAGTAAAAACACTGCAATTCTAACATACAGTAGTTTTGAATCTGAGCTGAATGTTTCTGGCAGGATTTGTTGATGTTGCCTGGCATGACGGCATGTGCAGTGGAAAGTGCACATTTTGCATTTTCAGAACTAAGGCTGCAGTGAAATTGCATGATGCAAAATGGGCAAGCACTGCCAGAAACACCTTGGATTCATCAGGCATTTGATTTTGAATTAATTTACGGTCACTGCATGTTCAGAACCTTTTACTGTTGCCAATTTTTAGCGACTTCCATAGTCAATTACAAAACCCCACATAGGGGTTGGTTCACAGTTTAAGAAGCACTGTACCTAATACAGTACTTGGCACACAGTTGGTGCTTAATAATTGTTTTTGTAAATTGATAATGTTGGTAAAAATCTTAGAAAAACTTAAAACTGCATAGAAATTTGTTTTCCATTATTTGGATATCACAGGGTTTTCTCAAAGCTTTGGGTCCCCCAGGCATGTTCTTTAATGTCACTGTTTACAAAAATCTTATTTCTTTCCTCTCCCCTTTTGTGTCACCTTTACTGGTTAGAGGAATTCATGCAAAAGCTGACTGAACTCTCGCCAACCTCTCACAGCCATGCTAGTTTCTTTTCCCTGTGGAGGAAATATGAGGCCCAATTGAGGCTGAGCCTGCTCTGCTGAGGAAGGAATGGCCTCTTACCTGACACTCCCATCTAGTTTCAAGCATCAGGATATTATCCAGACTTTTCAGCAGCTCCCGAAACTTAGAATCATGGTACTCAAAGCGATGCCCAAAAGTTATGGAGCAGATGATATTGGAAACAGCATTGTTGATCTGAAAGTGGGGGTCAAAGGGCTGTCCTGTTGACCAGAAGAAAAGTGACAGATCATTCTTTGTTTCACTCATGCTCTTTAAAGGAACTCAGCAGAGCTTTCTATCTTTTTCTACTAAACAATTTTTTCCTCACCTTTCCTTTCCCTCCCACCCCGTCATCACACATCTGCTTTATTATTATTTTACTTTACCAGCTACTGCTTAAATAACTGTGAGAAAAAGAAAAGAACATGCCCATTTTCTAATGCTTCAGTCAAGAATTATGATTTAATTGGCATATTTTGTTTCAACATAGCCTACTTCTGTGGCTTTGGGCAGCTTATTTTATCTGTCCTTACCTCCATTTGTTCATCAGTAAAATGAGGGGGTTGGAATAGATGACCTCTGAGGGCCCTTCTAACCTTTATCTATGATTCTAATTCTAATGTTTCATGTGTATAGGTAAACAAAGGTGTTCCCCTCTGTGTAATGGGCATGCAAACACATGTGCACAAAAATGTATGCATGCATATACCAATACCTATGACTATATACTCCTGTGGGCTTGCACGTAAGTGAGTAGTAGAGCTGAAATGGTGACTGGGGAAACTAGAATGAAAAGAAAAGATATGAGAAGGTGAATAAAGAAGGGAGGCAGTATAAGGCAGTGCATAAGGTACTGGACCGGAATCCAGGAAGACCTGGTTTATCTCAGACATTTACTCAAATCCTCTCTCAGACTAGCTTTATGACTTGAGTTCTAGTGTCTTCCCACTGTTGATTATTTCCAGTTTCTCCTGTTTTTAGAGTGTAGGGTGTTTGCATGTTGTCCCTGCCCTTCGATTAGGAGCTCCTTGAGAACAGGATCTCTTTTTTTTCCCTTTCTTTATATCCCCAGGATTTAGCACAGGGCCTGGAATACTAATTTGGCATAGGTACCTGATAAATAATTATTGACTGAGCGTCTGACCTTGGACAAACTTCTTATCTGCTCAACTCCTTAGTTAGTTTATCTGCAAAATGGGAGGGAGGATTGGATTTGTGATCTCCAAGGTTCATTCTTACCCTAAAACTATAATAATAACAGAAAGAACCAGAAGAGGAGGAGAAAGGGACAGTGGATGAGGATGGGAGGATTGGAGAAGGAAAAAGAAGCATAAAAAGAGAAGGAAGTGTAGAAGAATGGATTTCAACAATACCAACATTGTGAAAATAAAAGCAACTTGGAAAGACTTAAGAAGGGTGATCAATGCAGTACCGACCAAATTCCAGAGGAACGATTATGACCACCTGCTACCCAGATCCTGACAGGCGGTGATGGACTAAGGTTATACCATGAGATATATGTTTTTGGATATGGTCAATGTAAGAATTTCTTTTGCTTGACTGTACATAAGTTACTAGGGTTTTAGTTTTTTCAGTGAGTGGAGGAAGAAGGCAAGAAAACAAATGATTCATTGCAAAAGTAATAAGGGCAGCTAGGTGGCACAGTGGATAAAGCTCTGGCCCTGAAGTCAGGAAGACCTAAGTTCAGATCTGGCCTCAGACTGAACACCTGAAACTTACTAGCTGTATGATCTTGGGCAAGTCATTTAACCCCAATTGCCAAAAGAAAAAAAAGAAAAAGTAATAAAAACTTTTAAAAATGAAGACACCTACAGATATAGATATAGATATAGATATAGATATAGATATAGATATAGATATAGATATAGATATAGATATAGATATAGATATAGATATAGATATAGATATAGATATAGATATAGATGATATAGATATAGATATAGATATAGATATATAGATAGATAGTATGTATACATATATATGTGTGTGTGTTTATATACACATACATACACACACATACATATACGCTAAGGAGTAGAAGGAGGAGAACAAAGCAAAAGAGAAGAGAAGAAAGAAGGAAGACACTGAGAAAAGGAAGTAAACGATTCAGTAAGCAGAAAGGAAGACGGATGATTAGGAAGAAAAAAGAGTTCAAGAAGGGCAGACAAAGAGAATAGAGCCAGGATTGTGTGTACATGTATATGTGTAGGGAGTTCCTGGAGTGGCCAGCCAAGGCAATGCCCCATGTGACACTTTAGGGAGGGAGGCATGAAGGGTCTATCTTTTGACAGCATAACACAATTATGATGGCATTCAAGAGAATGGACCAACCAGAGTTCCTTTCTTTGCTTATTGCCTCATTTCTTCCCAGAGAACAATGGTGAGAAACTGTGACATTTTGCCTGTCCTCAGTCTAGGAATGACCTCTCTTCCTTTGCTCCTCCCACCCATAGTTACAGATTCTCTTTAATGATCATTTGGTCAAAAGGACAACCAGAATTGAAAATACCTCTGCCTGACCAGTGCTCACCTTTTTCTTCCCTGATAGCCTCCGTGAGATACTTGGCCTCCTCCTGGATGCGATCTTCCAGGGTCCTCTTTCCCAAACCAAGGTTCCTTAGGGTCATCAAGGCAAATCTTCTTTGCTGTTTCCATGCTTGGCCATTAGACATGATTATACCTAAACAACAACAGCAATAATTAGTGTATATAAATATTTCAAAAGATCTGTAATTTTACTAGTTTGATTATTTCCTTTATGAGCAATGGAATTCAATTGAACAGGAATTTAAAGATACCTACTATGTGCCAAGTACTGTGCTGGGCATACAAGCAGTAAGGGTTAGACAGTTCTGGCTCCCAAGGAACATACACACTGATTGGGGAAATAGGATTTAAAGTTCAACTCTGGGGAACATGGAAAGACCTGAAAGTTCTATGTCAAGGCTCAGAGGGCTGCAGGGTCTATAAGTTGGCCATGTACCTTGGGGTATGTAACTATGAGCTTCTGATTTCCTCGGTCAGATATGACTTGCTGATGGATGAGTTTCTGCTTTGGAGAAGCCAGCTACGGATAGGAGGAGGAGCTCAAGTCCTGATCTGGATGGCCAGATTCACTTTGAGCAGCCTAAGCCATCTCATGTGTTCCTTGCTGTCTTCATCAGTGTCTTGACCCAGGTAAGGCAGTGATGCCTTGGCCTATGGGTGCTGCATGAGCCATAAGCAGACTCACTGTCCCCCCTTTGTTCAATGTCATCTAGAACTGATAAGGCCACTCGACCTTACTGACCAGTATTAAATAGTCAACCTTGTTTCTTGCTATCTAAGAATGGGGGGTGATAGAAGAGGGACCCTGGGCTACTCCTTTCCCAGGAAGGATCTTTGCTATGAAGAGTTTGGGAACCAAGGCCTAGAGTTTTCGGAAGGTACCATAGGATAGAATTGTTTAGAGATATGTTGCTTTTTAATGGCAGAGGGGAGGTCACACTGTTTCTGTATAACTGCCTAGACCCAGGGGCAAATAGGTGGTACAGTGGACAGAGCACCAGCCCTGAAGTTAGGAAGACCTGAGTTCAAATTCAGCCTCAGACCAAACACTTGACACTTACTAGCTGTGTGACCCTGGGCAAGTCACTTAACCCCAATTGCCAAAACAAAAACAACAACAACAACAACAAAAACCTACCTAGACCCCACAGGAAAAAAAAAAAGGTTCACAGAGGCCTCTAATTGAGTAAAGCAAAGGGGAGGAAATGGAATACATTAGCTTTATTCATCACCAGCTATGTGCTAGGCACTATGCTAAGCATTTTACAAATATTATCTCATCTGAGCCTCACAACAATCCTGTGAGATAGGCATTGCCATTATTTCCATTTTATTCTTGAGGAAACAGATGTAGTGACTTGTCCAGGATCACACAGGCAGTAAGTGTCTGAGGCTGGATTTGAGCTGAGTGCTTCCTGACCCAGCTTTCTATCCACTCTATCACCTGGCTGCCTCCTTCCACCTGATGGGGCTCCTAGGCGAGGTGGGGTGGAGGAGGTGCTGTGGTGGGCCAGTTAACACTGAATGGTTAGTGCCCTGGGGAAACAAGGCCCTGGGACAGATAGCATGAACGAGGGCAATAACACCTTAGCCATCTCACTGAAGATAGCCATGACCCACAATTCAGTTTAGGTACCTGGCTGCAAGTGGTCAATTTATACCATATTCTTGAGGTTTCTTGTGCCACTCCTCCTTATTGCTCCAACTTTTCATCAGAAATTTCACTGTGGACTGTTTCTGACATTATCTGCACATACTCAGGGGACTGTTACATTACATGCTCTGTGTGTGTGTGTGTGTGTGTGTGTGTGTGTGTGTGTGTGTATACATTTGTCCAGTATTTTTCTCTTCTTTTACTTCAGCCCATTCCAGGCTTCGCATATGCTTGTGGTCATGGCTGTCCAGTAACTGCCCTAAGGCCATTTAAGTGCTAAAGGGTCCACTAAAATATATTTAGGATTTTGCCACCAAGGGATGGTGTGTGATAGGAGCAGTATCTATTAAATTGGAAAGTCTCTTTTCTGTGGCTGAGGCTATTTTTACCCTAAAAAGACAATGAAGTTTTCCTATGTGCTTGACTATTCCAAGAGAAAAGACTGAAAACTTTGATGGAACTTTGAGTTTTCCTGATGGTCTTCATACTCCTTCATGAGTCAATACCCTCTCCTGACTGGGTACATCTCTGTATTGAGAAGAAAGTCCCATTATGCGATGGGTCTAATACTTTCTCTTTGCTGAATATCCTCCCCATATTATTGTTAAGAAAATTTCCTTTTGTTAAAGGTTATACATTCTATGAGTGAATCTCATTTTCCTCTAATTCCAAGCCTCAACCACAAAAGTGCTTTTTTTTTTTTTGCTAGGCGATAGGGTTAAGTGACTTTCCCAGGGTCACACAGCTAGTGTTATGTGTCTGAGGACAGATTTGAACTCAGGTCTTCCTGAATCCAGGGCCGATACTCTATCCACTGTGCCACTAGCTGCCCCTAAGAGTGCCCTTCTGATGTCTAGATTTTTAAAAGAACATTTTAAACAGTCTTTTAAAAAGTGAATTCCATTGATATATTTTGTTTTCAGATTGTCTATATTTCCCCTGTATCTCATCTCTTCCTCCCTCCCAGACAGCTATCCCACATAATGAGGAATTTTTCCAATCTCTTTTAATTTCAATTATACCTCACTAGTCTATTGTGAGGTGTCTTACATCAAACCTGTACTTCTCATTTAGTTAACAGGTCCCTCCTCTGCTACTGAAAAATGAGTAGGACCATAGGATCCTCTGTTTGGCATTGGAAAAAAAAAAACACTTTAAAGGTGATCTAATCTGAATGCCTTGTTTTACGTGGAGAAAACCAAGGCCTAGAGAGGGTAAAGGATTTACCCAAGGTCACACAGGAAGATTGTGGCACAGCCAAGATTCAATCGGAGACCCTGAAACTCCACAGTCTGTGACCTTTCCATTACTTCTCATTATCTCATAGGAGTAAGCTTTCTGCTCTGAGACTGGCCTCTTATGTACTTCCCATGAAGGCCCTACTTTTAGACAGAGAAGGCTTTTTGGAATGCAGAAGTCACCACATTCCTTTAGGCAACCTAGGTCTGGGGGGCCCATGCTGAGATGTCCTTCACCTTCTTTCCTCAAAGCAGTGTCTCCATGTTGACTTATTTGTGAATGATTGATCTTTCCACGTCACCAGGGTCCTGTTTCACTGGCTTATTAGAAAAGATTGAATAACAGAGAGAGAGAGAGAGAAAGAGAGAGAGAGAGAGAGAGAGAGAGAGAGAGAGAACTAATAAGAGTGAAAAGGTGCTAAAAAAAAGATGGTACCCTTGACAAAACAAAAAAATAAATAAATAAAAAAGAAAGAATCAGAGAGATGTGTTTGGGCCATGGAAACTCACAGTGGTTGCCACTTTCATATTACACAATCTGATAGTTCACCCCAATAACAAGCAATAAGTCATAAATTATTGTTAAGATAAAAAGAGAGAAGAGGAGCTAGTAGAAAGTTAATAGTATTGCATTGATGGTGTCATGTGGAAGAGAGATCAGTTTTTTTCTGCCTGCCCCGCCCCCAGAGCAAAACCAGGAGAACTGAAGTTAGAGGGAAGGACAAATTTCTGACCAGTTAGAATTACTCTAGAGTGTCATGGGCTTCTTTGAAATGTGGTGGGCTCTCCATCCTTGGAGGTCTTCAAGCAGAATCTGGATAACCATTTGTTGGGAATGTTGAGAGGGGATTCCAATTCAGGTCCTAGCAGTCTTGGGCAGTTACTAAGGTCCTTTATGACTCTGAGATCCCATAATTCTCTCAAATGTCAAAGTGTGCACCCTGAGCCCTTTCAATCATTCATTCAATATTCATTTATTAGGGAATGAAGATCTGCAAAGACTTGAATTATGTGATGATAGAGATACAGGCAGTATTAGACTGGCTGAGCTCTAAATGAAATCAAATTTCCATCTTGTTTATAAAGGTACTGGGGCAGCTAGGTGGCACAGTGGATAGAGCGCCGGCACTGAAGTCAGGAGGACCTGAGTTCAAATCCAGCCTCAGACCAAACACTTGACACTTACTAGCTGTGTGACCCTGGGCAAGTCACTTAGCCCCAATTGCCTTAAAAAAAAATCACAGACCCACTGAATGTCCAAACAGGTAACTAACTCCAACTTGACCCTTACTATGCCTGGCCAATCCTTCTACTCTGCCCTTAATGACTCCTTACCAAAATCCTTACAGTGATTTTTCCAAACTTTTGTCATTTCTCATCCACTACCAAGTCAAAGGTAGGGCAGATATCTAAGCCTCCCTCTTTTCAAAGGTTCTCCCATGGTTTTCAGGTCCATGTCTTCATTCTTAAGTCTTATCAACATCAATTCTCTTCTTCTCTTCCAAATAACAGAATAGATATCTCTAATCCATGCTAACTCCTTTATCTTTGTTCCCCAGTCACCTCCCGCCACTTCCCCCCTCCAAGACTTTGACCTACAAAAATGAAAGAAATCTAGGAAACTTATGAAAAGAAATTTAACCAACTGGAAAAGAGAGATACAAAATCTTAAGGAAGAAAATGACTCCTTGAAAACTAGAATTGGGCAAGTGGAAACAAATTATATTTTAAGACATCAAGAAATAATGAAACTAGAAAAAATGCAATAAAATTTGAAACATCTCATTAGAAAAAACACTTGATCTGGAGAACAGATTGAGAAGAGACAATATAAGTATTGTTATGATCAAAAAAAGAATCTGGATACAATATTACACGAAATTATTAAGGAAAATTACTCTGAAATTCTAGAACAAGAAGGTAAAGGAGAAATAGAAAAAAAATCCACTGATCACCACCTGTAAGACATTCCAAGAAGAAGACTTACAGGAATGTCATAGCCCACTTTCAAATTCTCAGGTTAAAGATAAAACATTGCAAGCAACAAGAAAAAAAGAATTTAAATACTGCAGAAAAACCATCAGGATTTCACAAGACCTATCAGTTTCTATACTAAAAGACCATATGTCTTGGAACATTGTATATCAAAGAGCAAAGGAACTGTGGTTGAATTCAAAAATAACTTACCAAGCAAGTTGAGTATAATTCTGAATGAAAAAAAAAATGGGGGCAGCAAGGTGGCACAGTGGATAGAACACCAGCCCTGAATTCAGGAGTACCTGAGTTCAAATCCGGCCTCAGACACATAACACTTACTAGCTGTGTGACCCTGGGCAAGTCACTTAACCCCATTGCCTAGCCAAAATAAACAAACAAATAAATGAATGAATGAATGAATGAATAAATAAATAAATAAGTAAATAAATAATTAAGATCACCCCCTCTAACATAATTAATAGTCCTTAAAAAAATGGATATTTGATGAACTGAAAAACTTTTCAGTATTTTTAACCAAAAGACCAGAAGTCAATGGAATATTCTATATAAAAGATCTAGAAGGAATATAAGGAAATCATTAAGAAATGATTATAAGGCTCTGATTAAGGTCAAACTGTCTACTTATAACACATGGAAATGTATTAAAATGAGTAATTGTTAGTTATTATTATTATATATATAATATAATAATATATATGTTATTATTATTAAAACTGTTATTATTACTGAGGTAGTTTGAAAATTAGGTTTGAGTTAAATTATGTATGATGAGGTGATTCTAAAATATAAAAAAGGTAATAAAAATTTTTTAAAAGGTAAACGGAGAATGTATCTCACAAAAATGGGTCACGAAAGGAACAACTAATACAGAGGAAACAGGTGGGGATGGAGGACTGGTAATAATGGAAACATCTAGGTTGAAGAGGAAACCACACATGCACCTATTGATCTTTAGAAGTTTTATGAACTTCTAGAGAGCTGAGAAAACTGGAGTATAGAATCAGAGAGAGATTTTTAGAAGGTTATATAGATTAAGATTAGGTGGGCCAAATGAATGTATAGAGGAGAGATTTTTCGAGGATGCCTAAAAGAAGGAGTAAGAGCATAAGGGGAGAAGATAAGGTAACAGGGATAGTGTAAAAAGAAAGGTTGACAAGGAAAATAGTAAACATATGATTAAGAGAAATTCACAGAGAGTAATTTTAACTTTAAATGTGAATGGAATGAACTCACCCATTAAATGGAAATGAATAGTACAATGGATTCAAAATCAGAATCCTGCAATATGTTGTTTACAAGAAACACATTGAAAAATGAGAGCTAAAATGAAGGGTTGGAGTAGAATTTAACACTCTTCAGCTGATGCAAAAAAAATGCAAGTGTAGCAATTACAATCTCAGACTAAGTTATGGCTAAAATAGATTGAATTGAAAGAGATAAACAAGGTAATTAAATTTTGATAAAAGATATCATTGACAATGAAACTTTATAAAGTACTGAAACTATGTGCACCCAATACTAAAACAGCAGAATTTGTAAAAGAAAAGTTAAATTAATTATAGGTGGAGGTAGATTATAATAGTATAATAATAGGGGTCTCATCTTCACAGAGATAAATCTACCCAAAAATAAATAAATAAAAAAGAAAAGAGTTAAGGAAGTAAATAGAATCTTAGATAAACTAGATATGTTAGATATCTGGAGAGAATCAGAAAGAAATAGAAAGAAATACAGCATGGTACCTTTACCAAGACTGACCTCATATTAGTACATAAAATGTTTATAGTCAAAAACAGAAATATTAAATGCATCCTTTTCAGATCAAAATGCAACACAATTTATATTTAATAAAGGACCAAGGAAAGATGGATTAAAAACTAATTCATATTAAACAACCTAATATTTAAGAATGCATGGATTAAAGAACAAATCACAGAAATAACTAATAATTTCACTAAAGAGAATGACAATAATGAGACAACATATCAAACCTATGGGATAAAGAAAAACAGTGATTAAAGGGAAATTTATATCTCTAAATGCTTACATCATAAAACGATTCTGGAGAGCAATATGGAACTACACCCAAAAGGCTATAAAACCACGCACATCCTTTAACCTAGCAATACCATTACTAGAGAGAAAATACAAAAAGGAAAAGGGTCTTTGGGCACAAAAAAATTTATAGCAGCTCTTTTCTGGGGGCAAATAATTAGAAATTGAAGGGATGTCAATCAATTAGGGAATGGCTAAACAAATTGTAGAATATGATTATGATGGAATACTATTTTACTATAAGAAATGATGAGCAGGATACTCTTAGAAAAACCTGGAAAGACTTACATGAGCTGATGCAAAGTGAAGTGTGCCGTGTACAGGACTAATAGAAATATAATAAGATGATCAACTGTGAATGACTTATCTATTCTTAGCAAGCAAATGAGCCCCCAAAAAAACTCTGAAAGACTTATGATGAAAAAAGCTATCTCTCTCCAGAGAAAGAACTGATTCTGTCTGAATACAGATTGAAGCATACTTTATTTTTACTTTTTTTATTTGTCTTGAGTTCTCCCCCTATATTTTCTTTCACAACATGACTTATTATGGAAATGTTTTGCATGATTGCACATTTATAACCTATGTCAAATTGCTTGCCTTCTCAATGAGAGGTGGTGAGGAGGAAAGAAAGGAGAGAATTTGGAACTCAAAGTTTTGAAAATGAATGTTAAAAATTGTTTTTACATGTAACTGAGCAAAATAAAATACTAAATTTAAAAAGTATGTATAAAATAATTATGTATACACATATATACATACACACATACATGTGTGCTTATATATACACATATATCTCATACACACACATGTGTATATACATATACATACACACACACACACACACCTATCTATGCCTAATGATAGCCATCTCTATGGAGGGGAGGGGATGGAAGAAAAGAAACGGGAAAGATTACATGATAATTTTCTTGCATATTTCAAAGGAATACTAAGCCATGCACAGTAGATTGGCAGTTTCATTTGCAATCATGTTTTGTATGGTACTGTGTTTTTAAAATACTTGTCTCATTCAATAAATTAAAAATAAAATAAATTTTAGAAATTTAAAACAAAAGACATTGACCTGGTACTTCAACTTTATTGAATTCCTCCACATATAGGTAGTTCTGTTGGCACCTGCACCATGTGGGTCAAAGGGCCTAAAGGCACAATCATAAACTCATAGAGTTTCAGAGTTGGAAGGGATCTCAGAGGCAATCCAGTCTAACTTGGACCCAGCAAACTACACCAACAAAATATACTGAACAGCTTTTGCTTGAAGACCTCCAACAAAGAGGAATCTACTACCTCTGAAGAAAAAACATTTCATTTTTGGACAGCTCTGACGGTTAGGAAATTTTTCCTAGCATCAAGCCAAATTGTATCCCCCTGTGACTTTCACTCTTTGCTCCAAGGAGGACAAGTTGCCTTCAAACACTTGAAGACAGTCATCGTGCCTCTCTTCACCCCTCAAGTGAGTCTTCTTGTCATTAAGTTAAATATTCCAGGATCCTTCAACTGATCCTCCCATGGGATGAATTTGCACCCCTTCTCCATCCTCAGTGCCCTCCACTTCAACCCAATTCCTCTCCCCTCACTCTGAGACATGAAGGAAGGAAAATTCAAAGGCCTATTTTTTCCTATCATATTTCTTCTAGCCAGAAGACCTCTAAAAAGTGTTGGAAACCTTAAGGAATGATAAAGAATAGGAGTCAAAGAAATCTTTCAAAGAATCCTGGAGATGAAAAATATTTATCATAATTAAAAGAACTCACCAAATGATTTAACAACATGGAAGTGGACAGGAACTTCAGGACGATCAATAAACACTTGGTCTTGGTTGACCAGGACCTCCTTGATCAGTGGCAATCCAGTTACTACCAGAAATGTAAGATTTCCCACATGAGTGCAGATAACATTTCCATATTTCTTGGCAAACTGAAAAAGAATTAGTTTGAGTTGCAAACTTTCATTGTCTTTAAGGTTACTTTTAGTTTATATTGTTATCAGATAACATTCTAGCAATGTGAAATATTAATTTCAATGGAGTACACTCAATTCACTCTGATCCAATTCCCCTGAATTCAGTTCAGTTCACCCCAACAAACACTGAATCATCCAACTATACCCCAAGTCCTGTGCTAGGATCTGGGCAGACAGTCACAAACACCAACAGTTCCTTCCTTTGAGGAATTGACTTTGGAAGGAAATGATCTGTAAACATATAAGTAAATATGAAATATATACAAAGTAAATTCTAAGTAATATGAAGGGAGACTAGCACCTGGGAGGGATCTAGAAGGCTTCCCGCAAGAAATGCCCCCTACAATGGATAGAACACCAGCCCTGAAGTGAGGAGGACCTGAGTTCAAATCTGGCCTCAGACCAAACACTTGACACTTACTAGCTCTGTGACCTTGGGCAAGTCACTTAACCCCAATTGCCTAAAAAAAAAAAAAGAAAAGAAAAGAAAAGAAAAGAAAAGAAAAGAAAAGAAAAGAAACAGCCCCTGAAGCTGAGCTTTGATGGAAACTGGGAATTCCAAAAGATCCAGGAAAAGAGGAAATATATTCCAGACTCTGGAGTGACTGCTATATTCAAGACAGCATGCTGGGCTAGGAATATATGACAAAGAACAACTCAGAGTTTAATATGGGGGAAAGACTAGAGGTCAACACTTGAACCATTAGTAAGTTCATTAGAGTAGGTAGAACGTAAATTCCCAGAGAGCAGGGGCGACTTTATTTTTGTTTTCTTAATCTCCAGCACATAGCATAGTACCTGGCACATAGAAGGTACTTATGAAATTATTGTTAATTGATTGATTGATGGATTGTTCTTTCCCCCACTGACACCCATCGGAGCCTTTTCAAAACTCAGTAGATGGTCTTTGAGAGAGACTAGAGGAAAAATCAGTCACTGTTGCTGCCAACATGGTCATGAGACTTCTCTGAATTTAGCAAGGCTTGTCTTCACGTCACAGACACCCGAGTGTTGGTCACCATGCCCCTATATGAAACCATTACAGCTTTGTAGAGCCCAAGGATGCTGGTCTTCAACTATAAAGACCCAAGAAAGTGAAGGGCCTCAAGTTGATAGTATATGGTGACTATTTTCAGGATCCAGGGATGTTTAGACTTCAAAAAGAGAAAAAAAGCGAGGTGAGTGGCAGGATGTTATGAAGGTTAATGACCTAGTTCAGACGTTAATTTTTACCCCTACAAGTAAGCAGACACTGAAAGGTTTTCCTAAGATTTAGTACCTGCATACATAGTGACTATCTCAAAGGGGTATGCTGAGGATCCATTGAGATAATGCATGAAAAGCCCTCTATAAATATTCAAGAACTATATCAATCTCACCTAGGAGGCAGCATAGGATAGTGCATAAAGACCTAGCATCAGCAGAATAAAGACCTGGGTTCACATCCCACCTTGATCCATGCCAGCTGTAAGACTCTTGGCAAGGTGTTTAATCTTTGAATATCCCAGGTAGAAGATCTCCAGTGACTCCTAGATCTCTACTTGGCCCTGGGTTGTCTAACATTTTATGAACGACTTCAGTAAAGGTACAAATAGGGTACTCATCTGATTTGCGGTCAACATCAATGTTGTAAGGGTAGCTGGGTGATGGAGTCAATGAAAACAATTTCCATGGCCTGTGGTTGGGTTGAATGCAAGAAGGTGAAATTCAAAAGGGATAATGTAAAGTCTCACACTAAAATACAAAAACAAATTTTACAAGTACAAGATCCTGGAAAGAATCTTGGCAACTTGGTTTTCTTTAACTGTTGATAACTGCATTTCATTAAAATCAGTTTCCTTTATCATCCTGTTTTATGCATTTAAAACCATGATTCTGAGAGAGTGTCCCATTGATTTCACCAGAATGACTGCCAGAGGGGTCCAGGACACAAAAAAGGTGAAATAGTCCTTATATAGGGGTGAGTAGACTGCATCAAATAGGAGTTAGCAGTGCAATATGTCAGGTTAAAAAAATGACTGTTAGTGTTTGGTGAACTTAACTGAAAGAAAAACTACTGGGATGTTGGTAGTATGATATTAATACACAGAATTGACCAGTAAGGCAAGTGAAGATCAGAGACCTGACGTACCTTGTCCAAAGTCTTACAGAGTCATAGATCCTGGGTCCTTAACCTTTCCTGCATGTGTCTGTTCTTGTTGCTGTCGTCCCCTTGCTATTCTGTTGAATCCTTTGGGTAGCTTCTCAGAAGAAAGTTTTTAAATGCATAAAATTAAAAAAGAAAACCAAGTATATTAAAATGAGGGGAGAAAAACTGTTTTTAATGAAAATTCAATGGCCCCACTTAAGTACCTCTGATTCTAGAGTTTGAGGGGACCTCAGAGGCTGCCTATTCAATTTCTGCCAGTCTATTAATGAACATTTGTTAAGTGTACGATGTGCCAAGTACTGTGCTGAGCTGTGGGAATAAAATAAAGCAAAAGATAGTCTTTTAATGAGCTCACCTATCATTTATAATACCTGAGATTTATATGATGCTTAATGTATGCCAATCACTGTGTGAAGCACTTTAGAATTATTATCTCATTAGATCAGAATCACAGAAAGTAAGTCAGAAGAGACCTCAGCAGCGATCTAATCCTGACCACATAAAATGTCAACAATGACACACCCCACATGTGATGAGCATATGACTTTCTCCAGGTCCCCCAAGTCAGAAGGGGGATATGAACCCAGGCTCTCTAAGCCCCAAACCAGATGTTCTTTCCATTGCAAGGGGCTGCTTCCCTGGTAGGGCCAGAGCAGCAATGGACACCCAGGTTTGTGGCTGCCCAATCCAGCACATTCCCCAGAGCCCCGTCTCCACACCCCCCTCACAGCCAGTGGATTCTCACCCTCCTGTCTCACTCCTTACCTTTTGGAGTCTGATTTTGGGATTTTTAAAGTCCATCTGGAAGAAGTTGCCAAATATGGGCAGCGCAGGAGGGCTGGGGGGGTAGTTGAGATGCCGCTGCCTCTCTGCAGATACTGTCAGGATCAGGAGAATAGCAGAGAGGAGAAGGAGGGTCTGCAGGGGGGCTTTTTCCCAAAGGGAAGGGAGAAAGGTTCCCAGAGAGAGCTTCATCTTTCCCTAGCTCTGGCACCAAGGCCAAATAAGCCGAGCTCCTCCTCCCACCGTCACTTTCTGCAACAGCAGCAGCAGCGATGAGGCCACCAGGAGCACTGTTCTGGGGCGGGACAAAGCTCAAGCTGTGTTTTGTTCCTTGAAGCTGCTGCCTGGGTTGGCTTTATAGGCCAGCGACTGAGAGCTCCAGGAAGTGCCTGCCTCCCCTCTGTGCCCCAGCCCTCTGACCTCTGCCAGGGCCTGCCTCTTGAGCGTAACATGCCCCACTCCTACAGTCTTCTGCCCTGAAAAGAAGACTTTGCTTGTCTCCTGGGAACCAGAGACAAATTGACCAGAGTATCCTGGGAAGGCTCCACACATAAATACATCCACTCAGTGGGGCCGGTCCTTTGAGGAAAGAAGGGACCCAGAATGTCACCCCCTCATTTAGAAGAGCAACAAGCTGAGGTTCAGGGAGGCCAGGAAACTGACAAGGTCCCACAGCTCTTTGTAAGTTTCAGAGCCTTCACTGGAACCCAACTTAGCTGGCTTCAAATCAGCACACTTCTCCCTACTACAAATTACCTCCTAATGGACTTGTGAACTAATCTAAAGGGGCTCTAAATCTAGGATCCAGGGACCCCCGAGGCATTTGTAGATCGATTTCAGTGAGTCTATGAACTTGAATGGGAGAAAATAATTTCAACTTTATTGGAATAATTTGAATAAAATTTCCAATAGAATTGAAATAAAATTCCAAAATAATTGGAATAAATTAAATAAAATATCAATGTACTTAGAATCAATTGGAATAAAATTCTAATATAATTGGTATAAATTAGAACAATTTAAATAAAGTTCCAATATAATTAAAATAAGTAAAATAAAATTCCAATATAATTGGAATAAATTGAAATTAAATTCAAATGTAATTAGAAAAAATTGAGATAACTGGAACTATATTCCAGTATGAGTGGAATAAATGGGAATGATCGGAATAAAATCCAATATAATTGTAATTTCCTTTGTAACCTTACATATTCTTTTTATGCATCTAAAATGTCTTTCTAAGAAAGAACCCATTGGCTTCAAAAGACTGACCAAGGGTTCGAGCACACAAAGAAGGTGAAAAACTACTTCTCTAATTAGGTAGGCACTTCTAAGTGCTTGGAACTGCTTTTTGAACCTTGCTCAGGAACAAGGGGTGAATGGATATCCTTGTGTGTTCACTTCCAATGGCCTTCATGGAGCAGTGAGTAGAAAGCTGGATTTGGAGTGAGAGGGTTTGGGCTGAATCTAAGCTATTCCACTTTTGTTTCCCTGGGCCTCTATTTTCCCATCTGTAAAAGAGTAAATTCGATTATCAGAGATGTAAGAGACAAGACTCCTGCCTAAAAGCATTATAGCTCTCACTCCTGAATATTACCAGAGCCAGATTAAAATGTAATAAAGAAATTTTTAACAAACTAAAGACACAATACAAGATGGGTAATGCCAGTATATGACTTTCTAAGGCTGTAGGTTTACACGCCTACACTAGACAACTTCTGAGTTCCCCTTCCACTCAAATGCTATGTCCTCTTACTATGTAATGAAAGGCTATGTCCATTGTCCTCAGGCACTGTGTAAATAAGAGGTCAAGGGCAGGAAGATAGCCTTTTGGACCAAAAGGACAGTCAGTGACCCACAGTTTGTTTATAAATCCTAGAATGTTTTATCTGAAAGAAGTCTTAGAAATGATAGGATAATTGAGTTACCGATCTAGAGCTGCAGGGATCTCAGAGGCCATCTAGGTCAATGCTCTCATTTTACAGAGGAGCAAATAATGAAGACCATCATAAATCACCATTACCCTACTATTCTATAGGGATTTAAGGTTTACAAGTAACTTTGTGTGTTTTATCTCATTTGCGCTTTACAGTAGCCATACAAAATAAGTGTGATTATTATGCCCATTTTTCAGATGGAGAAACTGAGGCCAAGAGTTTCAAAGACTTGCTGAGGGTCACATAGCTAATAGGATTCTGAAGCAAGATCTGAATTCAGCTCCTCTGAGAGAAATGATTATTAATAAACAATGATTTGGGGAGATCAAGGATTATCCATTTCTTATAAAGTCTAGATTTTACAAAATTCAGTCTCTTGAAAGACATTGCTGATAATGAGATTGGACTAGCTTTCTGGTTCAGACCCCACCCAAGGAAGGATCCATTTTGTCCTGCCCAGGCTTAGGTGGGGCATATATTATTTGAATACCTTTCCCAAAGCTGGGTATGGTCAGGGTATAGAGACAGTCTCTCTCTATCCAATGGTGCCAGGATGTCACTCTCAGCCCCTCACTGAATAATTTTTCTTCAAAAGGCACAAAAACCGTGAATCTGCTGCCATGTTTGCCTTTGGTCTAAGAGAGATGGCCAGATGGCCATCCTTTTATTAAGAATTATGCTGGAAATATTGATAAAATGATTAAATTACCCAGAAACTATGTCTCTCAAACATTTTAGTCACCACAGACCCCAAGTCTAGGGCTCAAAATGGCCTAAGTTATACAGGTAGTAATTTGAAAGGGTGGGATTCAAAGCCAGGTCCTACAACTGCACATTTTGCCATTACGTCATCCTGCCTCCCTATAAGTGATAAACATATTGGAAATAGTGAATAGGATTATAAGGTCTCTAAACAATCCTCAGCCCAGCAAAGTAAAGTAAAGTCTTAAATTTGGGTCCAAAAACTCAATTGCACAAACACAAGATAGATAAGGTATGACTATAGAGAGTTTGTTAGAAAAAAGGGCTAGAGATGAAGTGAAATGCAAGGTCAATATTAGTCAGCCTTTTATGATGGCAGCAGAGAAGGCTATGGCACCTCTAGGTTTTTTAAGAGAGGCACTGGGGGAGGGGGGGAGCGGTGCATCTAAGTGGTGCAGTAGATAGAGCTCTGACCTTGGAGTCAGGAAGACCTGAGTTCAAACCTGGCCTCAGAAACTTGACACTTAATACCTGTGTGATCCTGGGCAAGTCACTTAACCCTGATTGCCTGATTTCCTCACTTAAAAACAAAACAAAACAAAACAAAAAAACCCAAGAAATTGTTTATTTGAAGACTATTGGGGAAGTTAGGCGGTGCAATGGATAGAGCACCGGCCCTGAAGTCAGGAGAACCTGAGTTCAAATCCAGCCTCAGACCAAACACTTGACACTTACTAGCTCTGTGACCCTGGGCAAATCACTTAACCCTAATTGTCTAAAAGAGAGAGAGAGAGAGAGAGAGAGAGAGAGAGAGAGAGAGAGAGAGAGAGAGAGAGAGAGAGAGAGAGGCACAAGGTCCAGGGCCATGGAGGTGATTGCTGTACTGTTCTCTACCTTGCTCAGACTATCTCTAGGGCATTGTCTTCAGTTCTGGGCACCACGGTTTTAGAAAGGACACTGGGTCATCTATAGAGGAGGTAAAGGAAGACTCATACACTTATAGCTTTAGAACTAGAAGGGGTGTTAGTGGTTATCTAGTACAAACTCTCCATTTTACAGATGAACAACTGAGGTACAGAGAAGGGAATGACTGATCCAGGGTTACATGTGTAGTGACAGTGATCTTTCCAATGCACTGCCTTACTTCCAGGTAAAAATACCCCTTGAGATCATGTTATAGGAGAAACTGTTGCAGAACTTAGGGGTGCTTAGCCTGTAGGATAGTGTGAGTATTTAGGGAGAGAGGGCTGGACATGGAGCTGTCTTTAGTTCTTTGAAGGGTTGACAAGTGAAAGAAAGATTAGCTTTGCCCTTCTCGATGCCAAAGAGCAGAATTAGGGGCAGTGGAGGTATTTCAACTTGATACAATGGGGGAAAACATAAATTTACAACTGGAGCTGTCCAAAATTGAAAGGGATTGCTTCTCTGAAACTCAGACCTCCTCAGTAACCTTGCGCTGGGGACCTCCCTCCCTCTGATTAGGGAAGGTAGAGGGTAGACATAAAGAATTCCTCCTAGACTTTCCATTTAAGGAGAGGGCCCAGGACAGCCATCTCATCATTTCTCACCTGACTTCAGGACTTCATCTTTGTCCCTCTCTGTTGCCTCTTACCCTCCCCTCCTTCAACTGTTTTCAATGGGCTTTCTTTCCCTGTTAGATAGTGAGTCTTTCTTTGTATCTGTATTTTTGGTACCTGGATTATAGTAGGCACTTAACAAAAATTTATTCACTGAAAGCTTCTAAAAGTAATGAGCCCCTTCTGATTTGAGTTCTTCAAGCAGAGAATGTATTACCATTGGACAGGTAAGTTTTAATGGGGATTCTTTAATCAATCAAGAAACATTTATCATGTGACTACTGTGTGCCAGGTACTGTGGTAAGTGCTAAGGATGGGGGGAGGGGGAAGAGGCAAAGGACCATCCCAGCCCTAAGCTAATATGGGAGAAAACACAGCAACAAGTACATAGAAACAAGCTCTAAGTATCTTTACTAGGAAATCATTAACAGAGGGAATTGAGAAGGGAGGGGACAGCTTTCTGTAGAAGATAGGATCAAGGTATAGGTAACTAGATGCCCTTGAGGTTCCTTCCAACTTGGAGATTTTGTTGTCCTGGGACTCTTTTGACTTCATCAATCCATCTGTCAATTAATCAATCCACAAGCATTTATCAATGATTCTTTTTGATGCTGTCTTCTCTCTAGGTTTTCAGAACCATTCCTCTCTCATGGATCTCCTCCCATGTCTCTGATCCACCTCCAGATCATGCCCTGTAACCACAGGGGTCCCTCAGGGTTCTGTCCTGGGCCCTCTCCTCGTCTCACTCTATACTACTTCACTTGATTTCATCTACTTCCATGGACTTAATGACCATCCTTCAGCTGACAATTCTCAAATCTACCTATCCTCCTCTACATATCTGTCTGCTGACCTCCCATCTCATATCTCCAATCACCTTTTAGAAATCTCAATCTGGATGTCCAGTAGACATCTTAAATTGAACTCATTATCACTCTCCTTAAACCTTGCCCTGCCTCCTAATTTCTCTATTGCTGTCAAGGCTCATCACTTAGGAGTTATCCTGGATTCCTCACTCTCACCCTCTACATCCAATGTGATGCCAAGGATGGTTCACTTCACCTCTGCCACACCTCT